TTTTTTTAATAATTGTTAAACTGCAGAGTTTTATTAATAATGCAACTCTCAGTGCTAAGAAAGTTTCCATTTCCAGCATTTTTTTCTTGTTACCTTTGAGCAGCATAATGGCTACAGCATGACAGAAAAACAAAAGCTAGGTATTTGATTTGGAAAGAAGAAATAGCTGTGGTGGTCATTTAACCACATGAGCTTTACTGTAGGTGGGGAAAGACTGTGCCCTTCATTGCTTCTGGACTACTACTGATTCATAACCAGAGAGGAAAGCAGAAGACCACTCCTCTATTATACTGTCCAATAATTTGGTAAGACCTTTCTATTGAGTTTAGAGCTTTTAAAACTACTTGTAAAAATACATTTGTTTATAAAATTCATTGCTTTAATTAACTCATGAAAAAAATCACAAGAAAATGTTAATCGTCCATGGAAGAAAGTAACACACTCATTATCTTATATTACTTGCAAATAGTCATGTTACCTTGTTTGTAAAACAAATGCTGCCATGCCTCAGTAACCCCCAAAATGTGCTACAAACACAAATGTACAAATACAGTCATGCCCCACTTGACGATTACCCCATTTAACAATAAATCCGCTTCACAACGATGTTTTTGCGATCGCAAAGGCAATCGCAAAACAATGTTTGAATGGGTTTTTTTCGCTTCAAGATGATCGGTTCCCTGCTTCGAGACCCAATTTTTCGCTAAACAATGTTTTTTCAACAGCTGATCAGTGGTTTTCAAAATGGCCACCGGCTCTCAAAATACCCCCCCTCTGTTTTTAGGAGGCATTTTTCGCAAGACACGCACTGGAAAATGGCCACCCTATGGAGGATCTTTGCTTTACAATGAGGTATTTCACCCATTAGAACACATTAGCCAGTTTATAATGCATTCTAATGGGCTTTTTAATTTCACTTGATGAGGATTTCGCTTAACAGCGATTTCAACGGCACGGATTATCCTCGTCAAGCGAGGAACCACTGTACGTTTTTAAAATTTACAAATAAATTGGCTGCCTATTATTATTGTTAAGTATCACGGAAATGTACCCACACAGTTGAAGAACCTCTATGGGCATATCTATGTTCCCAGACTCATTTGATCTCTGCAGACTACAATTTCCTTGTGAACTAAGCATCACTAGCACAATTCAGAGCATCCTTACCAGCGTTTTTAAAATTTACAAATAAATTGGCTGCCTATTATTATTGTTAAGTATCACGGAAATGTACCCACACAGTTGAAGAACCTCTATGGGCATATCTATGTTCCCAGACTCATTTGATCTCTGCAGACTACAATTTCCTTGTGAACTAAGCATCACTAGCACAATTCAGAGCATCCTTACCAGATCGCAAAACTCTTTGGATAAAGCCATATAAATCAAGCTAGCACAAAACAGATATAAGTTTGTTTGTTTGTTTGTTTGTTTATTCATTCATTCATTCATTCATTCATTCATTCATTCATTCATTCATTCATTCATTCAACTTATATGCCGCCCACTCTACCCAAATGCATTATAAACTGGCTAATGTGTTCTTACAACAATTAAAATACAATAAAAAGATAAAACAATTAAAATACAATTAAAATAGATACTCTAAAAATTGCCATCAGGACCCATAGTTGATATTATTTCAATTAAAAGCCTTCTGAAACAGGAAGGTTTTGACCTGGCGCCGAAATGTCATCAGCGTCGGCACCAGACGAATCTCAGTTGGGAGGGCATTCCATAGCTTGGGAGCAGCTGCCGAAAAGGCCCTTTGTCTACAAGCTATCCCTCTTTATACTGCAGCCTGTACCCCTCAAGTTGTCCTTTCTTCTCTGTTACAGGATGAACTATAGTGCTAAACTAGAAATGCGTATTGTAATCAAATCTTCAAGTCTTT